AAAACGGAAGTCATATATAAAACAATGATTTGCAAAAGCCCTGAAGACATAATGTGAAATATTAAGATTTGCTTTAAGGATAGCTCTGAATTCTCAGACAAAGTGGCTTTTCGCTCTCAGCTTATCAAAGTTAAATTGTGAGTTTTATGCTGATTATTTAACCTGTGCATGGTGGCCTTTTGATTATTCTTTTCTTGTTTCAATTTTTCCTTTGAATTGTGTGAATTATTCATTGCAAAAGAAAAAAAAAAGCTATTGAAAATAAAGTTATAAAGAGAATTTTTTTCTGGATAAATCAGACTGTCCCAAAGCTTGTGGTATAGAGTATTATCAAAAGCTGCTGCTCTTCTTTAGGCATACCCAGCCTTAAAGATAATCAAAGCACATGCTTTTCTGGACATGGATTACGTCAAAGGAGGCCAGAGGATTTAGGTTTGTCTCTATGTATGGTGCTATATCTATTATTTATGCAGCTACAGCGCTTTGGAAAAGCATTTGTCATGTTTCTTCTGTTTTTGCTTTTTTTGCACACAATGTCCCTGATCTACCAACATCCCAAAAGTAGGTGCACCTGAATAAATGTGCACATCAAACTGCAGATGTGATTAGTGGGGGTGTTGATGATATATTAATGCACAAATTACACCCAAATAGTCCTTTAGTCCGGTAGATTGGTCTGGACCAAGAGCAGAATTTTTTTTCCCATGCTGTTCACTTCCACATTATTTTTGTATTTTTAGAAGTCAACTACTGGAGTGGCTTTGTTTAAAGTTACACACATAAACCCTAAAATAGAGGGAAACTAACAAGGGAACTTCTGCGTGCAGCACCTCTCTTATGCGTTTATGCTTTTATCAAAGTGATTGTCAGGAGCAGCTTATTAAATATAGGTTTTGAGATGCTTGGTTTCTAATTTTGGAACAGCATCTGATGATGTGTTTTCTCCACAGGATCCTAGCTGTAGCATTTCTAAATGGCAGAGGGTATGATTTCACTACTATGCTTATTATGACAGTGCCTTGTTGAGTTCAAATAGACATTTTTTTGGTCTGCACCAAGTATTCTATGCTTCAAGTATTCAAATCTAATTTACAGTGTCGCAAAAGAGGGGAAAAAACTCTGGCGGCTTAAAGAGGCAGGTGTAAATGTATGGAGCTAAAACAGTACCAGATTGCGGTGACAACAAGAGAGATTTGTTCTTGTAAAATAAAAGTATTGTTATTGTAAATGAAAAACCTTATGGTGTTATTCTGGTGCTATACTGCAGGTTTTTATTCTAAAGAGAATTTGGCTGTCTCCGAACGTTCACTCTAATGCCTAAATCCCTATATGGGCTTTGAATGCAATGTTAGCCAGTATCTGCGAAATTGGCAGGGTCTGCCAAAGAATCATTTTCCTTAATGGCACAACAATTAGAATTAGGACTTTAAAGTCACCAGAGCCAGGGAGGTGTTGCTTAACAGAGACTCTTTCCTGATGCCAGAGTCTCTTCTGTAGGCATCACGGTCAGAACTGGAAGGAAATGGCGAGCATAACATGTAGTCAACCAACCAGAAGCGAGAATGACACATATAAACTAGTTGGCTGTGTGGCTGTTGAATGAGCTGGTCTAGGTTCCCACACAAAGCCTTACCATTAGAAGTCAAAATCAGGTATCAACAGGAACCAGAAATGACGAATCAGAAGCAGAATTGTTCAAAGTCAAACAATTTCCAATTTTCACATGGCATGGTTTTAAAGTTGTCTGGGGATTTTCAAAACTGTATACATGATAAGAAAAAATCAGAGGTAGTTTTAGTATTACAGTATATAGTGCGCACCTATACCACAAGCGCAGCACATCACCCAAAAAAGCCGATTTTGACACTTTCGATGTGCCATGACCAAAAGTCTACAGACAGTCTTTGTTTTCAACCGCAGATGCAATCAAGAGAGGGACTATGCTTTATTTGCTGTGATGAGTGGAACAAAAATTGCCTTTAATATGTTTTAAGCAAGAGAAAACACCCGAAATCGTAAACCTTGCAGTCAGTCCATCAGGATTCAGATCCTTATGATGGTTATTTAGCTGGCACATGTTTATTTAATATTTAAGATAAGAGTATTATGATAAGTTTTTAAGGCCATTTTTGAATTTTCATTATTTAGCTTTTGATATTTATATCTACAAAATCAGGTCTCTTTTTCAACGTCATTCCTAGCTGTTACTGTTTTTAGGGCCATATATATATATATATATATATATATATATATATATATATATATATATATATATATATATATATATATATATATATATATATATACCCCGGATCAAAAATCTAAGACCAGTTGAAAAATGGTAAGAATTCACATTTCTGCTCTGTTGGATCGTAAAAGAGCGTCCTGATGCAAAAAGAAGAAATGGGAGGGTATATCTCACAGAATGTTTTGTTTTTCTTCATTCAGTGAAGTAACTTAAAGTGCTAGAGTAGCTGCATATTTTAGTCTAGTGGGAGCTGCTTTACTGCAAAATAATATCACCACAATAGAATTATTTTGCTGTAAATACTTATAGCACAGTTAAACAATTTCTAGTAGATTTCTTTTTATCAAAAAGTTACTGAAGTTAAATTAACAGAGAAAATAAAACAAAAAAAGAACAACCTCTGTAAATGGAAGGACCCTGGAGCTAAACAAGAGTAACCCACCTACCTAATTTACTTCTAGAGGGCACGGATGACTTAACATGAAGGTCACAGAGGAAGCCAAAAGACTATTTACAACTTAAAACGAATTCGGTTGGATGATTATTAGGCTGAAACCACAGCTGACCGAAAACAACAAACCTGCCAATCTGACATTTAACAAAAAAATATATATATATTGATGATGCTCAAAATATTTAGGAAAATCCTCTGTGGACTGACAAGAGAAAAGAGGGTCTTTTAAAAACGTGCCTGTCTACTCAGAGTAAACAGGAGAGTCCAGCCTACCAAAATGACTCAAGGTCAACGCAGCATGATGAGCGAAAACAGACCAAGTTAACCTCTGACTGCAGAATATGGCCATCCTCTTTAGAAGATTTGGACAAAATTCCTTCTCAGGAGTGTAAAGAGTAACTTCTTGTTATCACAGCAACCCCTACAACCCTTTGTGGCCCATAAGGTTTTTAGTAGCCCTCCCTGCTGTTCAGGTGTAGTTCATTTTTTCCATTAAAGGCTCGGTTGGTCTAGAGGGTTTCTTGCTCAAACGGTGCTATCATTATTTAAAAACGTTTATTTTTTTTTTTTTTTACATACTCTTATCTTTATCTGACATTGGTTTGATGATTTAAAATATTGGCATCAAGCTAACACACAAGCAGAAATAGAAAGTTTTTTTTAAGGTGATGCACACTTTTATTTACTCTACTGCAAACTGGTAATATTAAGTAAAAATAACAAGAGTAAACATGTTTTTGCTGAATTTGTAGATTAAAGGAACACATTCATGCAAAGAAAATATTGAAAATCACGTGCCTGTCTGTATATATGACTCATATGCTATTGTTCTGCGGAAATGATAATGCATCCTTTCATGTGTGCATGGAGGTGAAAGCAGATGTCAGAATTATTCCATTCATGCCGGGGAAAAAGTGAGGCAGCGTGATGGATGCACACGAGACAAAAAAAGATAAATAAAGTTTAGTCATGCAGTTTCAGTTGAGTCTAGTTACTGACACTTTCCACTGCATCAAGTTTCACAGATCAATGGCCACTATCTGACTCGTATGTAAATGAAACAGAGATCATTAAACTTTTGGGAAATAAGGGCAAGTCATCGATTATATTATTTATGAGCCTAATTAATCTCTGAAGGGGAACCTCTTACACTATTGGACACTGTAGCATGTGGGGGTCCTTCTTTAGGAATGGCATCAATCACCTGCTGTCCAGGCAATTGTGTGAGACAAGGCGCAGTAAAGTACCTGAGCTCCACCTCTTCCTCAGGCCCTTGGGCTCTAAATTAATTGAAAAATTCAAAGCCCTGACACTTATCTCTCTTTGAGAATGAGATCAACAGCCAGATCCTCCCGCGACAGCACCGGGAGAGAAGGATGCCTCTAACAGCGCAAAGCAGCTCTTCTCTTTTTGTGTACTTTCTTATTGCACCACTCTGAGTAAGTAAAGCAAAGCTATTTTTACAGCAGCTGGCAGAGTGCACAGATGAGCAAACAAAGCTGTTCAACGAACAGCAGAGAAACGTTCATGTAGAAATTTGTCTTAAAATCCCCCCCCACCGCATTGAGATAATGAGTAAGATGTCAGCTTTTATGCGTCTATTCTCCTCTGTGTGTCTCGAAGCACTTGTTAGCCATATTAATGAAAGCAGTCCAGATCGCACTAATTATGTCTTCTCTCTTAGGTGTTCCTGGGCAGCATGTGCACCGCATGGAAATGTGAGAGAAAAATATTGGAGATGAAGTGTGGGAGAAGCAACCGTGGCGAACTATCATGATTTGCGAACACCTCGCGATGGCGTTGTGCGTCGCGCTCCTTTGCCTTTTCTTGTGTCAGGGGGAAAGCAGCGGTATTTCAGAGGCCGCTGGCCTTTCCCAGGAAGATGGGGACTTGCGTGTGATTTCAAGCAAAAAGCAACAAGTCTTACCTCATCCAGAGTCCACAGATGTCTTGTTTGAGCAAATCAAAGAACTAGAAAGGCATTGTCAGGATGCAGAGGCTGATGTAATACCACTGCCAAGCCAAGCTTTTCAAATAAGTGGCAACAATCCAGCCAAGAAAATGGACACACTAGGCCTCCCTGAAATGTCTCCTACATCCTTTATGTCAAGACTTAGAACTGAGGTCACTGTGAAAAGTAACAAAGGGAGCAGAATGATTGATGGGGATGATGGTGGTTTAATTGATGATCACACTCTAGCGCCCTATTTAGAGGAAGAGATGTCCGCAGACAGCCGAGTTCAGCCTGGAAGGACCTGGAGCGGCTCTGAACTGGTCAAAGAGTCTGAAAGCCGTCAGTCAGACAGGAGCCCTCGTCGCCGCAGGAGCTGGCTCTGGAACCAGTTCTTTGTGATCGAGGAGTACAGAGGGCCAGAGCCTGTGCTCATTGGCCGGGTAAGCTGCTTTTGTCACCAGTCTGCACGCAATGTGAATCTGCTGCATGTTTTTGTGTGAATTAGGTTTGTAACCTATTCCTGAGGGCATCTCCTATTTTTTTTTTTTTTTTTTACAAATGCACTGTCAGTGGTATTACTCATGCACAGAATAATTTAATCAAAGCAAACACAACTGTCTGCAATGCTTTGTAGAGGCATTTGTATGTTTGCATTATCCATGCAGTGGAAGTGCACAACTTTTCACTCAGTTTCACTTAGTGTTCATTCACAATGCGTCTTGCACTCAATGTCTCTGCTTTTACGCTTCGAGGTTTGCCCGATGGACTGTGACATTTCCCACCAGAGTGTAAAGGAGAAATTGTATCCATGTATGTATGGTCCTGTGAGAAACTATTTTCCCTGATTGCATTTTTTTTTCTGCCTTTGCTTTTTTTATTCACTTTTATTGATTAGATCATTATCCAAATTTTTATATGAGACAAAATAACGTCTGTGATTTAATTTATTTGTAGGAAGAAAAAAAAACTATTCAAGCCAGGAAAAGGTTGTTGGCCTGTATTAGACTGTAAACATTTATGAGTCTATTTCCACAACCATTAACCACAGAGGGGAAAACAAAACGAAACATGAAACAGAGGGAAACTTTCCCAGAAGTGAGTGGCTAATCAACATTAGCACTGCCGACTTCACTTCTCTCAGTTAAGGTCAGAATATGTGATTTAACAATAAGGCAGAAAGACTGGGCAAGAATGCACCCATTTATTTATTTATTTATTTATTTACAGACCAAAACAGAAAAATATGACAAGACTTTCTCATATTTTCCTAAAAATATCTTGAAGATCCCCAAGTTATTTGGGAAACCTTTTGGGTGAAATGATGAAACTATCAGCGCTGTCAAACCCCGACAATTTACCCAGAATTGGCCTGACATCCCAGAATCACAGAATCTAAAACGCTGGCATATGCTGAACTTTCTATGTATTCTTTCAATTTTGGGCGTATGCATAGAGTATTTATAACGACTCCTGAATGTATGTCCAATGACAGCCTAACTTATGCATAACGCACCACATTGTATTGCCCATGAAATGTCATAAGTCAAATGTCAGTGTCCTGAGGGCGGCAGCAATGTGCTCGGAGGCGTCCTGCCTGCATAAAGAGCAGATGTATGTATTCAATTCAATTCAGTTTATTTATATAGCGGCAATTCACGACACATATCATCTCATGGCA